GAGAGAGAGAGAGAGTAATACAGTCACTATTTCTTACTAATGCAAGTAAACATGCAGTTACACCAGTTCCACATGAGCTGACAACGGGGCGATCCAAAGAAATGCCTGCAACATGAACAAGCTCAGTCAATATGCCCACTTCATAGAAGGTATCAGTGTTTAAAAAAATGGGGACTCAGGTGCCATTTCTGGATGATTAACTCTAAAATAGGGGCAAGTTTGACCAAATCCATAATTTTTTTTATTTTGAGACTCAGCCAAGCACACAGACTGACTCGGCCTAGTTGGCTTTTGCTTGGGATCGAGACCGTGACAAGTCCAAGCCCGAGTCAAAGCTATTGACAATGGCAAGTATGAATTGCGGTAGCTGACTAATCAAGGCTTTAATAGATGCTAAGCATTACAACTCTGGCCAGACCCAGACATAGTTGTGGGATATGCAAAAAGACTTGGGTGTGGGGCAGATTCGATTCCAAGTAAGCACCTAGGCTTGCCTCTGTACAGGCAAATTGAGGAAACATCAACGAAATGGTACAGTGGAGAGACTCAGGTGAAGATTAGCATCTCACAAAGGATGTTTCCTCTCCCTAGGTGGGAGAATCGCCCCTAGGGAGAATCGCATAGATCAAACCTGCTCTTGCAAATATCTCTGTTTTCCAGCAACCTCTCTCCTTAGGATGTAGATGTCGATTGTTAATAGATTCAAGCAATTGATGAGGAACTTCCTGTTGTCAGGGGCAGAAGGGGGTTAGAAATACCACCTATTGAGCTGCGTGGCAGTCTGCAAGTCAAAGAAAAATGGTGGCTTATGTACGGGCCTCAACGTGATGAATGTTGCCCAAATGCCCTAATAGGAATATGGTGATGGCTATATCCTACTTAGGATGATCACCATGGGGAGTTGGTCATCCAACATGGATATGGTCGGGAGGGATCGGGGTGGTTGCCTCAGCCCGTTGTGAGTGCCAGAGCATTGGCCCTTGGAAATGTATCGCTATGACATTCCTGCCTTGAAAAGACACTTGGCTGGGTGATTGCAAGCTTGGAAATCCAATTTCCTAACGTTTTCTTAGTTGCTGCTAACCAAGGAATGGACTATCTGACTCACATGAGATGCTAGGGGGGCAATTGGTGTGGCCTCCCAAGTTTTTGTAGGGACCTGACTAAAATGGAAACCGGTGAACTTCAAGTATTGCTGCAGTTAGTTAAATCCCATTTTATCCCTCAACATGGCACTGACAAAATTATCTAAGAGCCTGCTAGATCAGGGCTCTTTTCCATCAACACTTTCTATAACCAGCTTCAACCCCTCAATGGCCTGCAAGGCTTGGAGTAACTACCCTCCCACAACCCACCCACCCAAAAAACAATCCCAGAAGGAAAAATCAGGCTTCGGTTGGCCAGTGATGAATAAGAAGACCCTCATGTTGGAAAATATCGAGCGTAAAGGAATACACCTCACCAATATGTGCATCCTGTGTAAAGAAGATGAGGAATCAGTCATTTATTCGTTCACTGCAGAGAGGCTAACCAGCTTTGGTCCTTTCTCGTTAAGTCATGTCCTGATTCTCCTCAACAACTTTTCACTACATTTTTCAGACTACCCCTTTTGGCACCAGGCTTGCAGTTATGGCGGCCTCCATAACGACACTACTTTGGGTTATATGGCTAGAAAGCAGGCTTGTTATGGCACCCTCCATAATGGCACTACTGGCACCAGGCTTCTTGTTATATGCCTCTCATATACAAGCCATGGACTAGCTGATCTGTGAAGAGATTAATTGGACAAGATGTTGGAAAGAGTTCAACTCTTTCTCAACCTCGCACTTTCTCCTGAATTGGCATATGATTTCTAGAACTCTCTTCATGGCCTCTACAAGGGCACAAATTGGATTGCTCCCCAATCAGGCAGCATCAAACTAAACTTTGATGGGTCCCCTTAACAGTAATCGGGAAAGGGCTGCCATAAGAAGAGTTTTCAGAACAGTGAAGCAGTTATATTATTGACACCTTCAGATCCGATTGGTAAAACCAGGGTGACTATAGCTGAGGCAAAGGCCGCCTCGGTGGCCTAAGTTGTTGCATAGATCAAGAGGCTCAGTACTGGCGGTTGAGGGAGAGTCCATGAATATAAAAAATTAGGCCACAAGGCATTCTAATTATCCCTGGAGTCTGGAGCAGATAATTGATGAAATCTTTACCTACAGTGCTCTCTGAATCAGCTTCCACTGAGAAGAAGCCAATGAAGCAGCATACAGCCAAGCTAAGCAGAGGGCCTCATTCCCATCCACTGCCCTAAAGGGACCAGTTTCCATGCCGGCAGTTACGCAATCTCCAAAACCATCCTGATTTTCTTCTTTTTATACTAGTGTTGGCCCACTTGGATGAGCAACGGCAAACTCCTCTACCATGCCTGACTTAGGTTTAGAGGTGGCGGTGGCTAGGTCGCAGCAGTGGTGGCCAGGTCGCAGCGGTTCCACATTTTGAGCCAGCATTTCGCTCTAGAGATAACTATGGTATTCTAATTTCCAGTTCTTGTCATAACCTCAATACTGTTTCTTTATTATAACAGAATGTTTGAGATTCAACCAGGAATAACAAGAAACCAGTAAAAAGATTGGTTAGACATGCCTAAGAGCACAAGCATATTCAATTTGTATATAAATATAACTACTTAATAATCAAATTCTCATCATATATCCTCCGTAAATATAAGGCTTGGAAGATGATGATGACCATTTGTAAAATATCAACCTCCATATTTCGTAATGCAAGAGATTCAACAAATGCAAGAGATTCGACAAAGGCAGAGGCCACAAGCCCGGGCCTTTTTGACAGCATTGAAAACATTCCCATAGTTACGTCCAGGACGAATGATAGGATTTGGGCTTGGGTTAAGATGGTAGCAGCTGGGTTTTCATAACGCTACGTCTCAAGATCCATTCCTATGGGTAAGGGCCCTCTCCCCATTGAACTACTCAAAAAAAAAAAAGAAGTCCAGGCCAAATGATAGTGCACAATGAAACCCCAAGTATCATTTGTTGAGCCATAGTTACCAGGATCACCCAAGAAGGTGGTTGCTCCAACTTCAAAACTTGACCATGTGGTTTGGGACAAGTTATTTCGATTCAAAATGTCTTCTAAATTTAGGGGTCCCAATCTACAAAATTGGAGTGTAAATCATTGGTTAATGTCCAGATCCATCTCATCCAAATCATGGGTCCATGAGTAAGTGGAATAGGTTCTCCACCAACATGGAATCGAGTTTCTTTTACATTGGTACCAAATATCAGCAGCACATTTCAAGTTTCATCAATGACCACCCACTCTTTTCCCATCCATCCTCTCTAACTCACTAGCCCATAGTCTCTCTCTCTCTCTCTCTCTCCATAGGAGCATATTTCTCTAAAAAAATTAAACTCTATATTGGCTTTCAGCATAGAGATCAACTAGTTAAGAAACAGTCCCACAACGGCTACCGGTATTTGAAGCTTGAAGATTGAACCTTTTTTTTTAAAAAAATATTAACTGTTGTATTAAAGAGGGGACGAAGTATACATCGTATCTTCGAGAACACCCACAAGCCAGGCGTCTCATCAAAAAATGGGCTAGACCAAAAGGCCCTATACAAAAAATGAGTGGGTATTATAAAATTGCCCACGGCAGAAGATGTACATGACGAGTATGACTTCCAAAAAATAAATCCTGACTACTATAACCCAAAAGAGGGACCTCAAGTATTATCCAGATCCTCAGTCGATTGCAGGTCCAGAGCTTGAGCTGCTGCTCCTTCCTTCGCGAGCCGGTCCGCCAGGTCGTTTGATTCCCTCCAAATATGCCTCCATAAGACGACCGTACCCCTGCAAATGTGCCCAATCTTGTCATAAATCGAAGGAAGGTACCAAGGGGAAGCCGATTTCCCCGTAGCCTAAGAGATGACATTTTCGGCATCTCCTTCCACTATTAAAGGTAGGCCCCAAACATGGTTAAAAAGTTTGAGACCCGTAAGGAGAGCTAAAGACTCACCTGACTGGGAGTCAAATGGCCAAGAAACTCTGAAAAGGTGGCCAGGATGTTGCCTCTGTGATCACGGAAGGCTCCTCCAGCACCGGCTGGACCAGGGTTTCCCAACGAACACCCATCAAAATTAAGTTTAACAAGTCCCACTGGGGGTGGAAACCAGTTATTTGCACGGCCTATCCTCGGTGTATGGAGGTCGAGAAGGTTTTCCCAGTCTAGTAGGAAGGATGCTGCTGTAATGCCTTTAAAGGCTTTGTGATTTCAAGCCCAGAAAATGACCTGGGCTGTGATCTTGTTGAAAAGTGCTGTGGGTTCACATTTGACTCCTCTAAATATCCTTGTGTTCCTCTCTAGCCATATGACCCAGATTGTGGCAACCATAGAGGCTTTCCATAGAAGCCTGCCTGCTTTAGGTCAGTGAGAGTCCAAAGACATTGAGAAGAGTGCCTTATAAGACTCCGGAATGACCCAAGAGAGTCCAAAGAGACGGAGGATGCGACTCCAAAGGTTGAGTGCCAGGCTGCAATGAATGAAGAGGTGCGAGTTGCTCTCTTCTTCACAGAGACACATCACACATCTATTTGGAATGGGGATGCCTCTGCGTTTCAGTTGGTCTACAGTTAATGCCTTCTTGGAGCATGCTAACCAATTGATAGCACGCACTTTAGGTGGGGCTATCGTGTACCACACCTTGTTTACTACCCAAATGGGGTTGTGAGGGTAGGTGGGTGGTTGCAGCAGTTTTTGTAAAAGGATGCCACCGAGAAAACCCCAGATGGTGATGGGGTCCACACTATCCTATCTGTGCCATTGAGAGCCAGAAAAGTAGAGTGTAGCAAGGAAGACAAGGTGAGGAATTCGATCTCCTCATCAGCCGATAAAGCCCTCCTAAAAGTGGGGTTCCAGACCCTTCTGCTGCCCAAAAGTGGCATCTCTGCCTCGATGGTAGCTGTAGGACTTGTAGCCAAAGAGAAGAGGGCTGGGAAAGAGTCCCTATGGGGAGAGTGGCCCACCCATAGGTCTGACCAGAATCTGATTCTCTCCTCTCTGAGGATGAAAGCGAATATTTTGCTTGAAGAGAGAGA